GCGAAACGCTTACCGATCTTCGCAAAGCGAAATTCTCCCTATCTGAAGCTCGTTGAGCGATCGCATTAGCAATCCAAAAAAACGGATTGCTATGCGATTTCATCGTTATACGGTGCGCTCGTTAAGCGAGGCACCACTGTACTTACCTGTAACCATGGTTCTTCTAGTGGTCCTCTGTGAATTCACACATCCCGCCCTGCCTCCCCTCTGTCCATCACTTTGTCCTCTTATATAGCTCTTTGACAGTGGCGGATTTTCTTTTGGGAACTGAGGGGACTTTGGGGTAACCTCTCTTTCTGTGTGTGTGTGTGTGTGTGTGTGTGTGTGTGAGAGAGAGGGAGAGAGAGAGAGGGAGAGAGAGAGAGTGTTAGGGAGGCAAATGGGAAAGCCTGAAGTGCAGTGTTGGTGGAGTGAAGAGATGTCTTTGGGCAAAAAACATGGATTTGAGGAACAGATTCTCATGGATCCCCATGATTTTTATGTAGGATCATTCCCAGACCACTCTCAATCATAAGTACCATTTGGGCAGTGGTTTGGCATGATTCCATGTTAAAACCATGTAGATTCATAAGGATCCATTCTTTGATCAGTGTTTTTGCACCACTGCAAAGCCAGGCACCCTTTGTTACTGTGGTGAATTCTGTGAGGATAAATGGAACATGTGATTTAACAATGTTTTATGCAGATCCCATGCTAAAATCAAGTGGATTCATGAGGATCCACGCTTGGATTCTTCTCCTCACCACAAATTCAGTGTTAACCCTCGCAATCAAGATGCAGCATCGCTTAAAATAGTTTAAAAGTTTTCCCAAGAGGACACACCCACCAATCCAAATACCATGGGACTACCATGTGATTTCTAAATTGATTCTGTTTAGAGTACAGCTTATTGTGAGGCAAATATAAATGTAAACAAACCCATAGTTTACCTTTTTATTCAACACACTCTCTCTGGCAATTATAAAACTGGGTCCTTTTTCACAGTCCCCTATCCCTACACCTAACCTATAAAATAAAATTAAAAAAAAGAAAAGAAAAACAAAAGCAGGAAATTAGGGACATATAATTCCAGGGTGTCTTCAGTTGAAACATTAGCAAGTTTATTAAAATTTCTTTCCGCTTTCAGAACACTTTCGGACTATGCATTTTATAGCAAAGGATGATGCACATTGCCTTTTTATGACTATAGTGTGGATATCCTTGGCAACTGGTAAATGGCTCCACCATCAGCCCTCTTGCTTCTCACTTCCTGGTATTACATAATATCCCAAAGCAGAGGTCAAGAACACGTTGGCTGTTCCAGGTGGAGATGCACAGCAGGATCTGTCGGCACCAGACAGCAGCGGGCCATATTTCTCATCCTTCTCTTACTATATGTGTTAACAACTATACGCACATCTCTTTTCTCCCATACATTCAGGATATGGAGTGAAGTGACTGGGTCACTAACATCTTGTTTTTGAATAACATTTGCTTATTTTTAAGATCTCTCCACCATGGAGGAAAGAATCCTGAAACGTTACTACAAAAAGGTGACAGAGTTTGTGGCCGACATGACCAAAATATTCGATAACTGTCGTTACTACAATCCAAATGACTCTCCTTTTTATCAGTGTGCAGAGGTTCTGGAGTCATACTTTGTACAGAAATTAAAAGGATTCAAAGCAAGCAGGTGCGTAGCTTTTATCCATAGTGCATGCTTTTGTTAACAATGGTATACATGTTGCCACTTCAAACTTAGAATTCTCATTTTTTTAAAATGTCTCATTCTCCTCACACAATTTTCCAGTAAGAGAAACCTTCAGTGGAGTGGTATGAGTGAACTACTAGCAGAGTTTGCTTGTATCAGATTAAAGAAGTGATCCTTAGGAAGTATTGGGCCAGTTTTGTCTGAATTACAACCTAATTTAAAGAACTTACCGGTGGGGCAGAGGTACAGCATTTACAATTGCCATTAGTATTGATGTGGGAGCTAAGTACCTGCTTAAATCAGTTCCTGTCATAATCAGTGAAAACAAAATGGAACTTTTGTACATCTTGAAGACGTAACACATGTTATTTGACATAAGTGTAGTGAATTACAGCAAACTCCATCTGATGAAGTTTAGTAGTAGAGATGGGCACAAACCAGTTTGGCAGTTCATGCCAGTTTGTTTTGTTCGCCTGCTGGAGGAGGCAGGGCTGCTGAACACTTGCTCAGCTGATAAATGAGCCAGTGATTTGTGCCCATCTCTGTTTAGTAGTATAGTAGTATAAAACAGACAGTGATCCTTTGGCATTGGAAGATATGTGTTCGCATTTCTTCTGTGAGGAGTAAAGATGGAATGGTAATGTGCAAAAGAAATAGCAGTTCAGATGAAGCTTCTCAAACTGTCATTTCTTTTCCTCATATTTATTTTTATCATCAACTCTTATTTTTCGGTTGCCACTCCCATTACTGCTTCATTCATACCACCATATTCTCTTTTTTTGCAGATTGTGATAAACTTTAGTCTGACCTTTCTTACGGGAATCAGAACTGGATGTTTGCTTGCTCTTTCATTGTACCATGTCATTAACTGTTACTTCAAAATTCATATTTGTTGTTTAATTTTAAGCTGTGGTTTGATGTGGAATCAAGTCTTATGCGTGGCTATGTCAGAAAATAAATCTCCATTATTTGAATACTGTTATCAAATGTGAGGCCAATAACAGTTACAGAAGCTATGTAATATCAGTTATTTTGTTTTGAATATTTTAAAAAACTTCCAAAAAGAAAAATTCATTAGTCATCGCAAGAAAAGTGTGCTATTTTTAATATAGTTTCAGTCAGTACACATGTATTTGTCATAGCAAATCCTAAAGCAATGTAAACTGAGTGCATGCTGATAGTATGTACCTCCCTCTAGGTATGCAGTGATCTTTCTGTTTCAGGGTTGACCTTTCTATTTCAGCATGTGTTTGAGCAGAACTGAGGCTGTCTGTGTAGTGAAAGGCTGTTCTGCTTTATGGAGTTTACCTCTGAATGATGAACAGGAACAACAGCATGACCAAGTCCTTGGCCTCTACTTCTAAAGCAGTTGAGATCTCTTAAACAAAGGGTGCTTACTTGTTCCCCTTTTCTGCATTCTGCAGGTCTCATAACAACAAACTGCAGTCTACAGCTTCTTAAAGTTCCACGTGTTGCCCTAATACACAGACAGGAAGAATCTGGTTCTCTGAAACTTTTTAAATTGAGAAGCCAGAGATTTTTAGTCAGGACGTCCTGACAAGTCTTGATGTAAACTGCATTTTTATCAGTCACATCAGATTATATTCTCGACTAATTTTGTCCAAAGGACAAATGAATGAAAGTCAGCAGCATCGTTTTCTTCTCAAGATGAAATTGTGCTGTTGTGGCAGAAACAGGAAAACATTTTGTTGATGGACAAGAGAGAAAACAAGCAAGAGTAAACATGATACAATAAAATGGGGTCGCGCTCTAACTCCATGGAAATGTCACATCTGTTCTTCAGTGAAGAAGCTGGTTTAAAGTCCACACAGAGAACTTTTGACTGTATTTATTTATTGTTGCAAAAGGACGCTTTTTTTATCGCTGCCCTCATTTGTCAGCTAATTATTTTTTCTTATAATCCCCAAGCCCTGGTTATATGTAACCCATTCTGTATCTTCCCATGATTCCTGTAGGTAAAAGTACAAGATGACCTCTAGATGTCTTTTCTTTCTATGAAAGGAGCTGCTATGTACACATGTGCACAAACAAACTGGGAATCAACAATGAGTTTATTGTTCATGGTAGATGAAAACAATTAAGCTTGCATAAAAGTCGGGCTGAGTGGTCAATGAACTACAGACTTTGTTGCCTTGAGTATAACAGTACAATGTCATTTACTCTGCACCGGACTGATATGAGTAAAATCTATTTGAAGGTATCTTGTTTGTAAACATTTGTCAGATTCTAATTTTTTTTCTTTTTGTATTAAAAATTCAAAATATGGATGTATATGAAACAAAATAAATGGAGATCATTGTTCTCTCCACAGATGTAGGTGTCTTTTGAATGTTCACTAACATGTTTGTAAGTTTTGGAGGTTTATTCTGAAGTGTAAGGGTCTGAGGTAGGATGAAAATGTGGCAAGGGAAAAAAAAGGACAAACAAACCCCAAGTGTGTTTCTAGTAGTTTTTAATCAAAAATAATAAAATTCTACTGTGATGCCAGAAATATTTCATCTTGATGGCAAAGGAGTTGTGTGAGAATGATCATTTCCCATTGCTAAATGAGGTAATGAGCAGATTGATAGTGTGAGGTTAAAAATGGTCTCAAAAGTGTGTTTCATTTTTCACTTTTCTACTAGGGAAAGGTATGTAAAAAGATGAAGCCAACAAGAGAGAGAGTCCTTACAGGTTTTCTTTATTACTCTCTAGCAAGTCACGTTTGCTGATATTTTTGTATGTGCATCATAAACCAACAGCAGTTGGTTTCCGTACCTCTACACGTATCTTAACTAGATTTTGCACTAATTCACAGTTTTGCCCTTCAGTGATCCAGAATTTGTCTATGGATGAGCTTTCCTTGGGTTTAACCTCACCCTGCTATGCAAGAACATTTTCTGTTACTTTCTTAGACATTGCTGTTGACCACAAGATTCTTATAAGTACAGGCTCAGGTGTACAGATACTTCGGGGTTAATCTTCTCTATGAAAGCCTATTCTTTTGTACATAGATACTGTCATTTAACCAATGTGAAATCAAAAGGAAGTTATTGTTCATTGTGAGGAGGGCATCGATTTATTATTTTTTTTAAGAAAGTAGGAAGACAAGTATTTGTGTGTTAGTATATTAGGAGTTTTTAGAAAGAAATGCTACATATTGTATGCATTATGTTTATAAAGAAGGATTTTTTTCAACCTAAATTCTACAAATATTGTCTTTTCACAATATTTCTGTATTATTCGTACATATGGCTGACATTGAAAAACCATGTTGAGAAGAGAAATTTCCTACCTGTAGGCAATAGATTACTGTTTTTAACAAATTGTGACAAACTGAAGAATAACTCTTTTGTACATAATAGGGACAGTTCATCTTAGACTAATAAAGTAATGTTGTTCGACATCAGATTTGGTGGAGTTCCTAATGAAACATCAGTTGTCTCGAATAACATATGTAGCACTTGGCATTGCCAGACTGTGCAGAAATTCTTGGGAATTTTTCATATAAATAATTATGAAATGAGGAAAATGCTAATTTCATACACTTTTTACCAAGCCTCACCTTTTTTCCTACTGCTTTGTAATACATGAAGATAATTCTTAGCTGTATCAACTATGGTAATTTTTAGGGTTTTTTGAAGTTTTATTTATGAGCCAGTGTAATGTGTGTACATTTTAAATACCACTTCTGTATAAGGAATAAAGAAAATTATACTTTACTCAGTTTTTCTTAAATGAAACAATGTGCAGCATATTCTCCCTTCCGTGTTTTTAAAATTCAAGAAAGTTCCTTCATTTACTCTGAGATATTTAATGTGGTTATCGAGTCTCCTGAATGAACTGAGGAAAGTTTTAAATTATAGCTCCTCGGTCAAATGGATTAATTTGGTGTTCCATGTATAAAAAGGGTTCAAAAGTTCTGAACTGCTCCTTAGTTGTGTTCATTGGTGGTTGGGTGGTTGGGATGGATTAGAGCCCATTTCTGGAGACTCAGGTTAGAATGGAAATATCTTGAACAACTGCAGAATGTTTGCCTCACTGTGCACAAAGCACATTGAACAAATTTTTCAGAATGGTTATTTTGCAGTAAAAACAGTCTTATCAGTCTGCTCTTTTTAAAATATATGTTAGCAGAAGTATGCGTAAAATATGTATTTTATATGGACCAGCTGTTAATTTATAATAACACCATTAATATACTACTTTTGATTTCACATCAGCGGCAGTTCTAAATTTTCTATTATTTTAACTAATATAGTTTTCTGATTAATCTTTGTGTGTGCATGTGCATACATGTGTGTAAACATGCACACAGATTGAAGAGGGAAATATAAAGCAGGCATTTCCAAGAGTTCTAACATTGGCCTCTGTGGGGCAGAGGTTTTGTGGGGGTTTATTGGTTTCTCTTGTTTTGACTACTTTGCGCAGGGAAGAAGTGTTATGCTTATATGTCTAAAACTTGCAGTGTGGGGATAACACTAATCTGCTTTGCACAACTGTTGTAAGGATAGTAGTGGTCGTTGTGTTGGAGGGGGATTGGGGATGTTCCTGTTCTAACCCCCAGTGGTCCCTGGCGGTTAGAACAGATGGTCCTGGGCCTGTGGCGCTACCCCTCAGGCTCGTGGTGAGGATAAAATGGGGGAGGGCTGCCCAGATATGCTCACGTGAAGTCATTGGAGGAAAAACCAGATTATATTATAACTAGTAAAACAACAATGATGGCTTATTAATACATTCACGGCCCACTTCTAGCCTCAGATTGCATTCTCCTCTTTGCTTGCTAGAGGAATCATGGAATGTGTACCATTGTTGTTTGCTGTTTGCCCTCTTTGCCTATGAAATGTGTTCAAAAACAGCAAACTGGTCGATCAGTCATTTTGTCCGAGTTGGGTCACCTTCTGTGAAGCTCTTGGAAAACAAACACACTAGACATTGACAGAGTACTCTCTCTGCTAGGGTTCCTGTATAAGCCATTTCCTTATACAGTATATCTGGAGAATCTACTTTGGGGGATTGGACAAGCTCAGAACTGCATGGGATTATATAACACAGCAGTCTCTAGTAGAAAAGCAGGAAAGCCCCACAGGAAATTAGGATCCAAGCTATTGTTATTACTACTGCTACAACCACAGTTTTTTAACAGGAAATCCATGCAAGAAAGGGGTGAAACTTCATCAGATCAGAGTGGAGAAGGATGAGAATGAAAAGCTTTGATAAGTAGAAAGTGTAGATCAGATCAACACCTGGAAGGCAGTAACATAGTCTTTGAAACTGTTACTTCGGTTGTAACAGATTCCTTAATAGTTTAGGTCAGGATAAAACAAATGCCCTCTCTATTCTCTAGGAAGGAAATTAGAAAGCACACTGTTTTAGCACTAGTCTATCTTCTTCGTAATGGAAGAATCTGATTCCATACGCATTCAGATTGGAGCTAAATATAGAGTGTGATGTAGAGAAATAAATGTGAGGAAGATCTGTATGCAGGCTGTGCCCCTCCACCCCCACCCCCAATATTCCTCCCACTAGTCTGAATGGCTGCCAGGAAGTCTCGTTTTGACAGAATGCCTTTATTCAAGATATCCTGGAAATTTTTCAGCTCTGACATCTTCATTATATGTGTGTCATTTCCCCCACCCTTAACCAAACAAATGCTTTTCTTACAGAAAATGTATGAAATCCTGAGAAATTTAGCAGGGACACTTCTGGATAATGGTTTGCCATTGGAACTTTACAAATTTCCTGTGGGATTTCAATCATGGCTTGTATCTGGTGTTTAGCAAACATTCCAGTTGCAGCCTATGCTAATTAAGTCTTCCTTTTTTTAACCCCCTCTCATTAAGCAGACGATTTGCATGAGGTATTAGTTTTGTCTAGATTTAAACTTGTTCTGTGCCCTTGCCTGGGCACAGGTGCTCCTACTTCTACTACCATGATTATTTGTTTCTGTGGATGGTGCAGAGGGGAGGAAGGAAGTAGTTTTTTAAAAGACATAGCCATATCTGCATGCCAGGTTTCTTTGTTATGAATAAGTTTTAAAATGGAGGCTGTCAACTCAAGACAGACCTGTCAGTTTCAGGTTCCACCTCTGGTAGTATTGGAGTCTTTCTCCTTGTCTTGTGAGACTGAGGGCCTGTCCAGACAGGGGAATTTGGAGCTGTCTGGTTTCCATGTAAAAAGTTCTTATTTTCAGTGCCACCTATTTTATGCCTCACCCGAGTGAGAGTGATCCTTCGATTCACAATGGAGATGTTTATTCTCCTGTGAGAAGGGTCCACAGGTGTGTTAAGTGTACTCGATTCACTTGTGAGTACGTTTGCCTAGTTTACACATGCATAAAGAAGGCATAGTGGACAGCAGCAGCACTGGCATGAGGGGAAAACATTGACGTGAAGGTTGGGGAGAGGGAAGGAGCAGTCCCCCTTTTCCCCATCTTTCTCCTCAGCCAGGGTTCTGCTGGGGCTGAGCCCCTGGAGTCATCCTAGCCCCTTTCTCCGCAGTGGCTTCCCTTGTTCTTTTTTCTTTTTCTTTTTCTGTTTGTTAATTAAGGTAGGTGGAATAGTGAAAGAACAATGTGTCCACCTATGATGGTATTTGAATTGCACTGCATCACTTAGGGAAATATATCTATATTTAAAGATGAAAATAGAGAAGGTGGTTTCTCTGTCCTCTCTTTTAGTGACAGAACCCACCTACTATGTCACAGGGTTATCACCTCAGTTAATGCTGCCCGCAACCCCATTCATGTGCAAGCTAGCCATCCACACAAGCCTCACAGGAAGCTAACTAGGATTGCACTGAATCATAGCAAAAAGTGCATGCCTACCAATGTGTCCGGAAGGTGTAGAAGAGCTCTTAAAGAGGCAGGATGGATAAATCTAAGTGGAGACACATGAAGGTAACATTTTGAACCAAGCCTAACCAAGTGTACAGTATACCAATTTACATACCCATTTGGATAGGCCGTAAGTGTTGCCAGTTATTCAGCATTCTCTCCCCCCCTCCCCCCAAGCCAATCACCTTATATTGAAAGATTCCTTTTTGGCCAGGGCTACAGAGCTACAGAAATGTCCCCCATGCCGTATCAGAGAGTCTGGGATGTTATACCATAACTAACCTCTGTAAACAGCTCTGTTGGTCAAATGTCCAATTAAAAATTCTGAGCCCTCCAAGATAAGATCATCTATATATACTGGTACAGTAGTTTTAACTATATTTGTGCAATTCAGTATTAAAACTGCCCGAAAATCAGATAGTACTTTTCATCCTCGGTTGTTATTTGTGTATGTCTTCTACAAACGCTAGAACTTGATAACAAAATAGGCTTGCATTGTAGGAGTCAAATTAGAAAATTCATGTAATATTTTGTTTGGCTTGGAGCAATGAGATCTGAAGCAGATGATCAGTTCGATATGCTCTGTGTGTAACTCAGGCTAATGGAAACACCCTAATGTAAATAATGTCTAAATAAGCAGACAGGAGCGTATGTAACGGCATGGGTGATGCAAGACCCCCGCTTGTGTCTGTTCACCCTCCCTACTCTAGGATGTCATGCCACAGCCCATGTGTTCTGCAGTAGATTGTGGATTGTCATCCACAAAAGCTCACATTGAAGTCTGTTAGTCTTTAAGGTAACACGGTATTTCTATTTTCCTATTCCAGTGTTAGGGATAGCACTTTGCTCTGCTCTGCTTTGGAAGGGAGAAGTTGCCAGTGCTATAGTGAAAAGAAGAAAATGACAAGACCTGATTCCTAAGCAAAAAGCTGCTTGTGGTAATTGGAATCCAAACCTATGCACCTATGGTAGATGCATGTAGAGCTGCTCCTCCTTGAAGTTAATATGACCATCTGTGGCTATTAATCATGGTGACATGGTCTTCAAAGGCTGATGAGCAGTAAGAGCAGAGGTGGCTTGCATTCATGTGCTGCTTGAAGGATCCCAAAGGGTTCTCTTTGGCCAGTGTGGGAAATGAATGAATAATATAGACTGTCATTCTGACTGAGAGCAGCTCTTAGCTTTCATGTGGATCTCACTAGAAGCATGCACACCAGTTGTTGCTGCCAATAACTGTCAGCATTTGCTTCAGTGTCTCCTGAAGACAGCTTGCAATTTCTGAATTCGGATGATTCTTTCTAAGTAATAAATAGTAGTTTCAGACAAAATAGGTAGGATGTGACATGCTAAAGCCAGTTTGAATAAGTAGGCCTTGGGAGAAGTACAGTTTGAATCAGATTAAGACCTGGGACTGAACTCGTTCAAGACTCAGACGATTCCAGGTAAGAATCAGGTAATTATACCTCAGATTTTATAATTTACACAAAAATGTGTGCATCTGTTTTCAGCAAGACCTGTTCTATGTTGATATTCATCAAAAAGATACTGAATGGCTTGTGGGGGGGAGTGCTTTGCAAATAAAAGGACAGAAAATATTACTAATAAAAGTACATTACAAATGGAAAGCAGAACCATTGACTAAGCTGTAACAAATTCTAGCTATTTGCCTTGAAATGCAACCTGTTTTATTATGGCTTTTATGTCAAGTTGTTGAAGCCAGTGGAAGCTCATATCTTGGCAACTGGGTTAATTATAAAGTGCCACTGCACTCCATTCTCCCCACCATCATAAGGAGACCCGGAGGCTGTTTTACAGGAAAGTACATAAAGTCTGTGCCAAAGACCACAGTTGGTCTTAAGCCCTGAAGAAGTTTTAGCCCTGAAGAAGCTGTGGTGGTTGTGCATTCTCATCTGCATTTGGTGTGAGCTGCCCTTTGAACTTTCTGATCCCGCCTTCGGTTGAATCTTTTCATGTAACTACTGCCCATCCAAAGCAGCCCATCTCCTGGCCTCAGGCGCCCTCTCACCTGTTCTTGCAGAATGGTAGGTAGTTGCCACCGCCTGTGGTAGATTTGACCCATCACAATGTATCTGCTCCCTGCAAAACAACAAGTCCCAACCTTAGTGAGTGCCTTTGCCTCCCATTCTGAGTCAGTTCCGCAGCAGTCGTTGCAGCTGTGGCAAATCGGATGCAATACATAGATGTGGATCTCTGTGCCTTCATTATGCTGAAATGAAGCACAGGTTCCATGCTAGCCCTTTGCTGTTGAGTCAGGCACATGGCATATACCTGGGAGGCCTTTTGGTGCAGATTATGGCATTGACCCATCAACCAACCCTCTGGCAATCCTCTGCCAGTCTAGCCATGGGGGTCCCATGATAATGGCACTCCTGTTTACCTTAATCATCCTGGCTGTGTTACTAAATTGTATTCACTGCAAATAATCATTCAAGGTAGTGGACTGTACCTAACGCTACACCTGCCATTCTCTCTTCATTGCACAATTATATCTGCCACCTTGCACAGAGAGTTGGAGCATCAGAAACTTGCAGTTGCAAATGTGATCTAAATATATTCAGGACTTCAGTGGCTTTTGTTTGTTGTCTTGATAAGCCTGGCATGAATTTTTTTATTACTCTTAATCCTGGAAATGCTTCTTCAGTAACTTTATCCCTCCTGCTACGCATTGCTACTTCTGAGGGCATCAGATGGGGGCAAAGGAGTTGTCCTTCAATCATGATCATTGACCTTGCTAAACTAAATTGACTACGCTTGAATTTTTTCTGTTTTTACCTCCTTCCTCCCAACCCTTTTTCCTTTGTGTTGTGTCTTTTGTATTATATACGAAGTCTGTCTTACTCCAGAGCTTGGTACGTCTCTAGAACCTTTTTGGGGCTGAACAGTAGGGTAAAAATATAAATAGATATGAGGAAGCTTTCTTTTTTAACATATCACCTATAGTATCGACCACACTGCCATTAACACTCAAAGTTATTTGCAGAAGAGGAGGAACTACTTCGGTATTTTACCAAGTTTGAAGTCTGGGCAGGGTTTACTGCAGTCCAAGGCATCCACAACCAGCAGGTGAACTTGAAAGAAGAAGCCATCAGGCTGGAAGTACAGTCGATTTGTCTTGTAGAGCCCTTTCCTGTTTACCAAGAGCGTTACCAATCGTGTTCCTTTGTGTATCATGGTGGTATCGTGAACAATCCCATTCACCACTTTTTAGGAAGAGAAAGGGGTAAAAAATTATGCTTCCATGTTGACACTAATTTGTGAATGATGTGCAGCTATTTATAACAACGGTTAGAAACTGCCTTCCAACCTGAGTCCTGAAGGCAGTGTGCATATAAATAATAAGTCCCATGATCTCATTGTCAAGTACAAAACTAATAAAAATAGGAAAAATTGGCCATAAAAAATTAGTTGACATCACCAACCTCTTAATAAGAATGTACAACTGAACTTGAGAATGAGCAGTAAAATTCTAGACTGATCTCATAAGCTTTTTTTTTCAGTTAGGATTTCTGTGGTATAACCTGATAAACTGCAAATGATGCCTTCAGCATCTTTGGAAATCATGTCTCAGATTATTTCCACTACATAGAATATGACCAAACCAACTGCAGTAAAACAATAGAAATATCTATCTGTGCTGCACAAACACCAAACAAGAACTACTGCAACATAGGGCAAATCCATTTCTTCCTCCCACAAATGAGACTGTCATTCATAGATGTTAATGAGGCTTAAAGGTTTTTGAGAAAGAATGGGAAATGGCTATGGACTACACTCGCATCATTCTTCACTTGATACGTTGCCTATGGCTGATGGCAATTGTAGTCCAATAGTACCTAGAAGACCATAGATTCCCCTCCCCTATTTTGCAACATGGTTGAGGACTTTTGTTTTTTCACCCTGTTCTGTCCTGTTAGCTGAGAGTGACTGATATATCAAAAGCATCATTTAAAAAAAATTAGATAAACTGAACATTGAAAATCTACAGTACTTCATACCTTCATAGCTACACACACACAAAGGAGCTGATTGCTGGAATCCAGCAGTGGAACTTACTCTGCATAAGGCTAATGATGTCATCAACCACAGTGGGTTGTTGTTTTTTAAGAAATTAAAAATGTCTGATCCCCTTGCCCTGAAGATCCAGAGGCTCTTATATAATTCCTGTCATTGTGGGGAAGTAATGGGAGGTGGGGCATGAAATGGGAGGAGTGTGTAATTTCCAAAAATCACTACCATTGGGATGATTTTACCAGTGGTCATAATTTTAAGAAATAAACAATGTTCCCCTTACAGCCCCCAAAAGTTTCCACACATGGAAAGGAATCCCTGGAAGGAAGTCTCACGGCCTTCAGGGTGAAGAGAACAAAAAATTACTTCCCATTATTCCCAGCAACCCTAACCATTAAGTCAAGTGTCAAGAAACCAACTTCTGGCCACTGACAATCATGTGGATTCCCTTCCCCCATTTCTTAACCTGCCCTTCGGCTGGCAGCAGGGCTGGCATTAAGGTTAATGATGGCAAAAATAAAGCTGAAGCACGTGATCTGAGCATAAACAGTACATAAACCTGTGTCTGGTCCTACCAAATTCACTGCTGCAGAAAGCTTCCACCTCTTCACGCTCCTTCTTGCAGTCAGTTAGGCATGCCTCCATGTTTTCGGCATCTGGAACAAGAGCCAGCATTAAAGCTGCAGAATTCAAGCGAGGAACAAGGGATGAGGGGCTAATGAAACTAATCATGCAGCAGAACAAAGGAGTAATCCGCTCTCAAAAGACATTTAGAGCACAACCCTTCCATGACTACTCAGAAATAAACCCAATAAGGACCTGCTCCCAGAGAAGAAAGTGGAGGATTGCACTCCTAGACAACCTAGGAACTTCTGTTGTAACTGTGTTTTCAGACGATACTGCTCTGATTTGTTGCTGTGTGTGCTATCATGTCACTTCTGATTATACTGCCCTTTTCAGGGTCTAGGAGACGTTCAAGTGATTTGTGACTGCCGCTTCCCAGAGAGTTTCTACGGCCAAGCAGGGATCTAAACCCAAATCTCACGAATGCAAGTCCATCACTTTGTCCTCTACACACCACATTGGCTCTCATTGCCCCAATACACATCCTTAATAAATTTTAAAATTTTTGTACATTAGGAAGACCTTGCTGCAAGAACAAGAAGCAGGAAGCAAGAGTAAGATCTGCAAATGCTTCTCCAATTATAGAAAACATGATCTAAAGCCATATTAATCAGGATTACTGGAGAGTAAACAGTGTGATTCCACGATATCAGTGCTCTCCTGCATTGAACACTCCGTTTTTCCTGTTTTGGTTCGGGAGATCTCTCTTGTATGTGTATTTTCCACCATAGCCTCTCTTTGACTATTGTGTTTTTATCCTACAATCATGGATTCTTTCTACCCAGCCCCCAGTTTAGGCAACTGGAAGCCTTTTTTTACTTTCTTCCCTCCTAGGACAATTCACCCATAAGCAGATGCTCCCAACTTTTCTGGGTTTTCCCCAGGGGGTTCAGTTTAAGAGTTGCTGCCTTTTTCTATATTAAAAGTTAATTGTCTGCTTTAAATGGAGCATTTCCCTCTTAGGCAGTGAGGTCTAATCAAAAAACATCCCCTAATGTCTAATGAAAATAATGTCCTCCTCTCTGTAGCACTATCTGAGTCGGGTACCTAGCTGCAGAGACAGAGGTTCAGAGTTTAGTTCCCCACTGGGCCGCCTCCTATACGGCCTTGGTCAAGGAGCATGGTGCCAGGGTGCCCCCTTGCCAGAAGATAATGCCAAACCACTTCTGAGTACTCTATGCCTAGAAAACCCTGGAAATTATTATTAGACCACCATTTTACCCTTTTTAAGATTCCTTAGCCTTGCTAGACCTGCACATGAAACATGAAACAGGTACCATTTGGGAGAAAGTTAACTCAGAAGTCCTGTCTTTCAACAATCTACCTAACAGGGTATATTTATCTTTCAGGCTCTTGCAAGTTGGAATGGGGACACAATTATCATGTCCTCAGATCTCACTACTGTACTGATTTCAGCTTCTTCAGGTCAGCTACATGTTTTGATGCTGGAGATACTTCATCCTTCTTTGTCTTCTCCAGGGTCACAAGTTAGGCACTTTGGTCTTGACACTAAGGCATGAACTCAAGTGTCAGCAGACCTTTAAGTCAAAGACACACCCACACCCACATACTGCCCCCAGATTTTCTTAAGAAACATGGCGTCTTCAACACCACAACCTTACACTCTCATATTCTCACTTTCTGGTTCAGGCAGTATACCAGGAATGAGGAAGCCTGAGATGGGATATGAAGAGAGAGCACTATCCTTGTACGGAGCTCAAAAAGTCTGATATGGGCAACTGGGATCAGAGATAAGGGCATAAATATGGATGAAACTATTCAGACTCTGAAGAAGGAAATAATTCTTTGGGATCTGTCCTGGACACTGCAAATGTGTCTTGATGTCTTTTCTAGTCCATGTTTCCTTCCATTGACAGACACTTCTTGCCAGGCATTTCCCCCCCTCACAATTAAAGTTTGGCTCATGGTTGTATGACTCAAGACACCAACTTTTGTATCATTATCCAATCTACATTAGGAGAGATTATTCATTTAATAAGAAAACATTGCTTCCAGTATTGTGCCGTTTTGGCCTCTCTTCACACCAAAGCATTCATATAAAAGTATATGGCACTCATCACAGTTTATGTTTATCTCCAATCAGTGGTCACCTTTTTACATTTATGACTTACTCCAGAGATATTTACTGGCCTGAGATATTTACTGCCTAGAGAACAGAAAACAACACTATTGTCCCTTAACCCGAGGGACAGTCCAATTGTTTTGGCATGCCATCTGAAAGGCAGATGTGACACAGATGTCCCTATCAGCGGAAGTAAGTTCATTAAAAATTAGGTAAACTAACATTTCCTGAGTTCTGTGATGCCCAGCAGCTGTTGCCTGGAGCATCTGTCCCAATCTGCCCAGTGATCCAGCTGGTCCTGACTGCTAGCCGAGAACATATGCAACAGCGTCCTTTCAAGGGCTCAGACTACGTTTCCTTTTAGACCAGGCTTGAACAACTGTGGCCCTCCAGTTGTTCTTAGTCAACCCTGGTCAGCAAACCAATAGATTCAAATTATAGGAGTCACAATCCAGAACATCTGAAGAGATAAAATTGCCCGTGAGTTATTTCCCCTAGTTATGGTCTCAGGTATTCCCATTGCACTTTAGACATGTGCAAGACCTTGACTTCCTGCCTCAATGAGAACACCATACTCTAAAAGTAAAATGGGGTTGTTTTGAGGTGCTCCTCCAGTTGGTAAGATGTTATGTGATTTCACAGAAAACACTTTAAACCAACAAGGTAGTGAAAACAGCTATTTTGTAATACTCAGAAGCAGGAAGGAAACAACAGCTGTGGCTATTTTACAGCATTAATTAAATCAGTTTTTACATGTTGTGAACTGGAGAATAAAGGACTAGAAGAGGAGGAAAAAGAGAGGATGGAGATAGAGAGATAGCTAAGGTTACAGAGAAGGCGAAAGAGCTGAAGGTGGGAGAAAAGGGGGAGGAATTAGGGAAGACAAGAAGAAAGAAGATAGATGTCTTCTTGACGACGGAGGAAGGAGAGAGAGAAGTCAGGGAAAACAAGAAAGGTTGTGGTTTTGGAAGACGAATGGCAGGCAGAATGACGGAGGAAGGAGAGAAGTCAGGGAAAACAAGAAAGGTGGTGGTTTTGGAAGACGAATGGCAGGCAGAAGAAGGAGGACAGAAAGTGTTTAAAATACCTCAGAAGGGAGAAAAAAGAGATAGACGTCGCAAGAGTATAGATCCATATAGAAAAGGGGATGAAGTGAAATTGCCAATAGAAAGATTAGGAAACGTCGCAAGAGTATAGATCCAGATAGAAAAGGGGGTGAAGTGAAATTGCCAATAGAAAGATTAGGACTTGAAGAATGGACCGTGCTGATATACCCTTGAGGACGGGGTCCTTGGAAGAAGGTAATCCACCCAGGACCTCTCCAGTCAAATGAGAAGCCAGCCGAGGGAGGCTGGTCTCGTCATCCCTGCTATATGTGCAGTGAGGAGTGGGTGTTTGAGAAAGCCAGATGGCCAGGAGCGATATGGACATTCTCCCCATTGATGAAGGAAAGTTATGGAGAAAATTTACCGTTATTGTGGACAGATTTTCCTGTAGATTTTGGTCACGTTGACCCTACAGAAGTTATTGTTGAGAAACCTACGAGTTCTGTTAATAAAGAATTTGTTGTTAAAGAATCTTCTCTCTTGTCGTTTCCCACCAAACTAAGGAACTGTCAGACTCTGACAAGGAACCCTATCACACACGTTTACCTGTGTGAATGCTACCAAGTGCTAATTTGCAGAAATAAATGAATATTTTAATTTCAAAACACCAACTTCAAATATCAGGTGCAACATAGCCATTATGATCTAATGGAATCAGTGTCGATTTTATGACTGTGTGAAAGAGAATAGACTAAGTTTAGAGATCCTTAAATTTGATAATAACCTAGTTATATGGATGATTAAAAATAATAATTGTGTGCTCCTAAGTCAATTCTGACTTAGGGTGACCCTTTTCAGCATTTTCTAAGTGTAGACTACACAGAAGTGGTTGACCAGTTTATTCTTTTGGGGACGCTGTAAGGCTGTGCAGTTTGCCCAAGCCCACACAGGTTGGCTGTTCTATTAGGTCTATGGGGAATTAAATTACAAGCCTTTGGCTCCACAGCCTAACTCACTTTGCGTCAACATAATCTCACCCAGTTCCAGTGAGGCTCCTGAAATGTGCACTGGACTACAACCTAAAACCCATGAAACTCTGACTAGCCTCAGGATTAACATAGCACTGCCACTGATGCCACCAGGACCACAGAAAAGTGAGCTCCCTAAGTCTTCATCATCCTTACCCTTCTTTAAGGTAAGCGGGTGATACGGCCAGCTCTGCGTCTGTCGGTTCATGAGCCAAGAGGGTTCGGGGTTATTTCTGAAGGAATGGCCAAGTTTGTAGTAAGGATTTATCTTGCCTGGTCGGTTCAGGTGATCCAAGCTCACTGAGATCCGCCCGCTGTTCAACTCTGTATCTCTGAAAACAGGAGCTTCTGACAGCAATCGGTCTTGACGATAGGAGTAGACAAGTGGGTGAAAGTAGGCAGAGATGCTGTTGGCAGCTTCTAGCTGGAGCCGATTTGTGTGCATCCTGTTGGTTTCTGGCCCCTCCTGGTGGCTCCCGAAAGGAAAGCCTTTGCCTTGCTGGGCAGGCTGCTTCCGCAAACCTGTGTAGTTCTCGTGTTCTGCTTGGTGTTTGGCCTTTTTCTTTTTATCCAAGGACAGCTGATGTGTGTGGACCACTCTCGTCTTCTGGATGCCACCCGAAGGCATTGTCTGATGTCCTCTCTGTTCATCCCTGGAGATGCTGCCACCTCTTAGTAGAGACTTGCTCTGCCTAACAGTGGAGTCCTCTGACCCATAAGCATCTTTGTTGAATGATGGCATGGGCCTTCCAGCATAAGGCAGTAACCCTGCAAGCCAAAAAGAATAAAAGAGAGAAAGTAAGAGCAGGGATCTGAGTGAGCAGCCTGTGGGGTATTCACCACTGACCTCTTTCTTCCAAACTCCAAGTATATTAATATACTTTGCCAGCACTGCGAACTCTAACACTCTGTATTTAGACTTGCTTTTTGAGATCTGGGTCAGCACTTACAGGAGGTACTTATTTGGGACCCCGTCTCCCAGCATCTCTCACTGGGATAGCCATAGCCTATACTGACTGGGGATTCTGGGATCTGTACTTCCTCCTAGGGAACTTTTCCTGCTTCTGGCTTTAACTTAACTGGCAGGAAAAAGGGTGGAAAGGAGGTTAGTCAATGCTCTTGCTTTAATTGTATTTGCTCTTTTTTTGTTTGTTAACTATGTGAAGGCTTTGGTTTGGAGTTGGACAATGAGGATGTGACATGCAACTGACTGTTGGGCTGATTTCTGTGGCCTCTGATGGACACGAACGATCCAGATAACACCATGAAAATGACAAACGCACTTCTCCCCTCCCCTCTTCTTGTCATCGTTGCATGACACATTGAGGTCAGAACCATCTGCTCTTGTGCCACTTAAGCTGGAGTTGGTTCTCACCAGCTCCACAAGGGGGATCAGGTATGAATTTGTGCCAAAATCCTGTGCCTACAACACGTCTGAAGGAATATCAGGTTAGTAACTCTCAGAGGATTTAAACAGCTACAGTAAGCTACATTCTACCATCTGCAGCAGCAATGGGCACCTTGCATGGATCCAGGAGCCAATTTCACCTCACCACAACCTTGTTCCACCACTTATGGGGGACAGGCCCTGCTTCTCCCTTAAAACAAGGTATCTAGACCATTCCACCTTGAACTAAATTACATGCCTCTTTGTAAAATAAAGTTGCACTTGCAGGGATATGGATGTTTTTTTAAGTGATTCCTTTTAGCTTCTTCTAAGGCGAAACATGGTTTTCAGTACGGTTATTCTCCCAAGACTGGGTAGTCACAAGGGGGTTGTAGAGACTCTGCAGGTTGTACCAACAGACAGAGGTTTCATACATCTTACAGGCTGTGCATTGACCTAAAGTCTTCCCTGGCCTCATGCACTTTGCCGACTAGAGAGGACGGAAATGGTAGTCCAACACATCTTAAGGGCATCACATGGTGGTGAGGTGGGGCAGCTGATTCAAGGCAAGCATTAAACTGTGAATCCCTCTGATGGTTGTCGTCATTGTTGTATTTCTTGCCAGAAGCAATCCAGCGGTGCTTCTGGCATGGAAGGAGCAGCCACTAGGGAGCTGCTGTTATCCAGCTGATGCCTAAAAGCCCTTCACCGTCCTCACATTGTGAAAGGGCTGGATTAAGCCGAGGGAACTGCTCCAGCATCTCCCAGATGAGACCTGGGAGCTCAGAGTTTAAAAAGAAGAAGGAAGAAAGAAGAAAAGCAGCCCAGCAAGTGAGGAAACAGAAGCTTGGAGATGTAACTCTACCCACCCCCCACCCACCCCTGTTTTTGTTACAAATTAAAAGCAAAATTTATAAACAGTCTCTTCTCTTAAAAAAATAAAGAAAGAATCCTGGATGTCCCAGGGAGCAATCGGGGAGCAAGGTTCACACTGCATCCTGGTCTGATTGTTTAAAAAGTCTCTGACAAACATGGCTGTTTGGCTTTCCCATCCACAGGAAGCCTTGTTGACCCTGTCCTCTGCCCTGCCTAAGGCCTGTCACCAGCTCAGCAGATGGATGAAGAATGATTTTCAGCGTAAGCCTTCGATCCCCAGTTGGGCAAGGCAGTTTTCTGAGAGTGCTCAAAAGAACTCTGTAGCCCTGTACTTTGTATTACGGTACTCATACTCAGTCAGGTGGTCCTATTCACTGCTGTGATGGATTTCCAAATAAGAATACTTAAGGTTACACCTTTGATTAACTTGGATTTGTAAGTTACACTTGTCTGTATTGTGTTTTATTTTCAGAGTTAACTGTGTTGTTGAATATATTAAATTCCTTTACAGTACTTCCAATTAATTTATATATAGTAACTCAGCCTTCCTTTTTAGATTGGTCATTGGCTTAAATCCTTTTAAGCAAACACCAATACAATTCCGGATATTGCTATTTTTTTTTTTTAAGTATTATTGTATCAAACTGCTCCACCTGCTTATTAAAAGGTGAGAAGAAATGAAGGAAATGAGAACCCTAATAAAAGAAAGCTCCAACATTCTGATGAATTAGGAGTTGCCTTTCGTTGCCCCCTTCACTTTGGCAACACAAAGTAAGTGATTCTTTCCATTTGATTTTCATGTTAATTATTCCAAGACTGAAATTATCTTGGACAGGATCATTTGTGGGTGATTAGCTATGTTATTTCATCCCTTCTTTCCCATCTTGCATTTAGATTGTTAGTGTGCAGGATACTTTAAATACTGTTTGCACATAAACTTTTATACACCCACAAACTTTGTATATTTAGTATGCAGTTCCTATTGTTGATTCTGACCGCTAGTTTAGCTCCAATTCTAAAGTCTCCTGCCTGTTGACTTCATCATTTACTTGTCCCTTTCCCATGACAACAGCTGGTGAGAGTAAAGATTGCCTGATACTGCCTGAGAAGGAAGAACATTGCCATGAAGGGAGAAGAAATCCATGCAAAGAAGCTGAGTGTATGGAAGAGAGAGAGAGAGAGTACCCCCACACACAGTGGTAGCTTTTTTATCCTTGTTGCCTCTCCCACCACCTCATTATTCCTCTTTGACTGAATAGGCCTTTATTGGGGTTTTGTCTGAGGCCATCACCATCACTGTGTTATTCAAAGGGACAGATTTTTCATGTCATGTTTTTAATTTTTATCAGATGAAAACACACACTCTCATTATGTCCATGATGTTTGAGGTAAGGCCTCTGGGCATTCATGATCAGAGGGTCATATTTATTTACTCTGGGGCAACTATGCAACCATATATAAAATAGGACGGATAGCAGTTTAAGGGAAAGTTCCAGGTTTCATGGATTAGATGCATCTTGCCCAGACAAGAACATGAGGAGATCAGTGTGTTATCGGACAGTGTTTAGAAAATCTGCTTAAGAAACAAAGACAAAAGAAAAGATGCCGGCCACAGAGACTGGCGAAATGTCAGGAAGAACACGGCCAAAGAGCCGGGGGAAAAGCCCACAACAACCATTAGATCCCGGCTGTGAAAGCCTTCCTGAATACAAAAGAAACCACTCCTAGAATACCTGAGCCACCAGAGTCATTGTGGCAAAGGAGAATTGTTGGAAGTGTAGTTTTTAAAAAAGAGTCAACTCGAGTAGGGCAGATGGAATCCTATCTTTATAATTCTGCCAAAGGGGAGAAAAAACCTTACACAGCAAAATTGGTTTGGATATTAATTCTCAGCCTCTGTTTCCCAGGATTGAAGGTCTTTGGAGGAAAGACAGTTGGGTAGGCATCCTTCAGTCTCAAGAGACTATGGAAATGTGCTCTGAATAGAGGACTTGGAACAGCCTCTAGTGTGGCTGAGAAGGCCCATTCGAGAGTGACAATCCCTTCCACACGGAAGATAAATACAATCTGTCCCCTGTCCAGCTCTTTGCTGGTTTCAGGACTGCCTCTTTGCCTCGATCTGCTGGACAATGGTCTCTTCAAATTGGGAGAGGCCATAGAGGATTAATAGGTAAAGCAACATCAAATATATTTCTGTATTTGGGCCCGTCGAATGGCAACTGTTACTTCCCTCTGTAAAGGGTCACTTTGTCTAAAGAAATGCATCTTGTGACCTTTCTGAATAATGGGGAATCTGGGAGCTTTTTCTGAGTACGGAAATTGGCATTGAGGTTGTGAATGCTGCAGGAACCCTTTCCGTTTTTAATCCCTGCATGGAAATGTGGCAAATTTTCCAAGCAAAGATGCCTACTATGGTGTATGTACAATGTACAATCCTTTGCAGTATCTGAGATCAAACATATAGAACAAGAGAAATGGAGGTCAGAGGTGTCTGGGCTTGTGGCTGAGGATTTAATAAAACACATCCAAGTCACTCCCAGTGCAAAACCAAGCAAGTTTCCTCAAAAGTAAACCCCATGGCGTTCAACATCTGCCAGAAGGCGTCCGAAAGACAAAGAGTTTGCAAGCTTGCGAATGTTCTCTCTTGCATGAAACAGATTCTTCTACCACCACCCAAGAACAAAAAGTTATTTTTAATCCAGGAAAGCTGAAAACCAAGAGGCGTGAGAGTTGAAAGGCACCAAGAAAACTTCTTTGGCATGCTCTCGTCTTCTTTCTTCCCGCCTGCCTTATCCATGGGGCTTTCAGCCTGACCACATTGGCTTTTCAACCGTTTTGCAGAGCCCAGGAAACGAGTGGGTGGGTGAGGGGGGGCAACCTGCCTTCGAAAGGTGTCCAGCAACCAGCCATAGCTTAGTTGCGGCTGGTCTGCCCGCTCTTTGTCTCCTTCAGGCCCCAGTTAACCGCTGACGGGCACACCGTCAGGGAGCAGACCGTGCCCCTGGGTGTGTGTGGGGGTGTGTGTGTGGTGGTGGGTGGGCAGCCGAGCGACGCAGCCGCCCTTCCTCCGGCACCTGACACGCGCCCCCGGCCCACCCACACCCACACTCACACATGCACCTGTTGCCCCGCGCCTTCCCCACCGCCGGAGCAGGTGTCCGCTCTCTTGACAAATCCCCCTCCGGGTAGAGTCTCCCTGTTTCGGAAGCCCGAGCCCACCTGCCGGCGATAACGCGCACGAGAAGCGCTTCTGGGAGGGGAGCGGAGGCGAAGGAGGGCGAAGCGGAGAGTCCGTCCCCCCCACCTCGGCTGCCCGG